AGAGGCCAGATCTCGCAATCGTAAAGCAGAACGCTACGAACTGCGGCGATATACACCCTTCTCTTGAGGGACAATCGAATGTCATGGCGGCGCCACAGGTGTCGCAGGTTGGCGAAAGCTGCTCTAGCTTTCACCATTCGTGATGTGATCGCATCCCCAACACCACCACAAGCTACGATCAAGCTCCCGAGGTACTTAAAGCTCTCAACTACTTCCAGCTGATTACCACAGAGGGTGAGTGCAGGCACAGGCTCCTGCCAGTTTTGAACAAGAAGTTTGTATTTGGAAGGTGCAAAGCACATACCATATCTGGATACCTCGATCACCAAGCGGTTCAGAGCCCCCTTGGACTGCCTGTGTGTTGTCACCCAACAAGGTGATGATGAAGAGATAGAAGGAATAGATTCTCATTTCTATTCCTACGATAACTGGGAGCGTGAACCCAAAGACTTGAAGTGGTGACCCGCGTAAGGTCCTAATAGGATAGACATGGCATTGAATCGGACGAAAACGAATTCACAGATCATAGACTCTGAAGCCCGCTAGGTGAAAGCAAACTTCAATCACCGGGTCAACATTACTAAGTAAAGGATACCCAATGAGATCGTGCCTTTGGATTAGTACACCGGACCCTTTGTGCTTGGGTTCGAATCCCAGTGGAAAAAAGTAGAAAACAGCTTTTCAATAGTGTAAGCGAGACATTGGTGCCGACGAATGCACTGATACATTGAAAAGTTATCGTGGCATAATTTTGGGCTCATCTGACTATCGGGCATTAGTTCACCCACTCCACTCGACTCATCACTGTCTAATACTTTACATTTATTCATGCCTTCTGTCAGCATCTCATTGGCTGCAATTTTCTTTGTAAAATATAAGTGATTTTTCTTTCAATTTAAAGGTAGTAAACGATTGGGTTGCAAATCTACTCAGAATAATCCAATCAACTTTGAGAAAGTAGTTTGATCAATTGCACAAACAATGAAAGACACTATTGTTCGAAAGAACGAATTACCATGTTTCGGAAGGTTCAGTATGACTTTTTTGGTGGGTTGTACCGGCCCACGATAGGTAGCGGTCTGTCGAATTGGCATCGATTCACCGCCACCACGTCCCGGAATAGTGGTTGTTCCGGTCGGAAGGAGCGATCGAACAGTCGAACCGGATTGAAACCCATCGTCATTATTGGCATCCGTGTGATTAATTCCGTCAGCGCTTCGAATTTTAGCCCGGCTTGTTACGCAATCCTCATTCGTATCGGATGGATCCTCACGGCTGGATAATCTGTCCTCCCCTGCACTGTCTTTGGACCATGAACCGGACTCGTCTGTGCTGTGTGTTTGAACGATTTCTTGTAAAAAATGAATATATCCAATCGCTAGACGTAGGGTGTCCACCTTGGATAGACGTTTTTCGTACGGCAAGGTGGGAATGTGTGCCCGAAGACCTATTCGGATCGGATCAAAAGACAGTTGTGAGAATTGAAGGAGAGAGAGAGTTTGGATGTTGGTAGTGGTAGTAGTAGTAGTAGTTGTTGCTGTTGTTAGTGTTAGTGTTGGTGTGGTTGTTGTTGTTGTTGTTGTTGTTGTTGTTGGTGGTGGTGGTGGTGGTGGTGGTGGTGTTATGTCAGTGTTAACACCACCACTTCAGTTCCATCAAAATTTCATAGCTACTTGTCGCTGAATTACCCAAGCTTATGTTCACGGTAAACTTTCGACCCGTCATACATCACACATTTAAACGAGATGTGTTTGCTATGGTGAATACATGTGGAAACTTAATCTAAAAAAAACAATAGTTTTTCTGCGTTTTAATGCATCAAATCGATTGATCAATAAATTCTAGGGGCTCTGGCAGATGAAGTCACAGTACTCCGTCGTTCCCTGAAGCGAACATGATGGGGATCGAGAAAAAATCTGTTCATTCCTTGAAGGTGTTTGCTCTTGCGGAAATTCTTAAAGCAGAAAAAACCATAGTTAAGACACAAAGACAATTTGTCATTACTTATTTCGTAAATGATTTCAAAGTGAAAAACACGACCGGTTGATTGCTCTTGCCGCTCGTCAGACGTGCGTACCTGGTCATCCCTTTCTACTTTATTCATATACTTGTACCCAGGAAGTATATTTTCGTCACAATAACCTTGTTTGCAACACCGGGGAACCATTGGATAGACAGCTCTTTCACAGCCAGTCCATTGAAGAATCAGTGCTATGATTCAATGTTTTGTAAGTGGGTTCGATGCTACTAACCGCAACAAACGTGACCTGGTCGTCTTTATAGAATTTTTTATTAACAAGTAGTATGTGAATGACTGGACAAAATCTCCCTGTCCAGTCTTTCACATACTACTTATTATCAAATATTCCACCAAGACCATCAGGTCACATTTGTTGCGGTTAGTAGTATCTAACCCACTTACAAAACATTGAATCATAGCACTGATTCTTCAATGGACTGGCTGTGAAAGAGCTGTCTATCCAATGGTTCCCCGGTGTTGCAAACAAGGTTATTGTGACGAAAATACACTTCCTGGGTACAAGTATATGAATGAACTGGAAAAAGGTGAGCGGATGCGCATGTCTGACGGGCGGCGAGGACCGCGAACCTGGTCGTGTGCTTCCAGCAAGATTTTGTCCAGTCATTCACATACTACTTATATTACCAAACTATTGCATTATTATCCAAAGCTTTCCAATACGGATAGGTTTATTTCCGACGGGTATTCGTATACTCAAACCCGGGACTGGAAGTTGTTTGTCTATGATGGACTGTTATTCCTATGGTTCTCATTCAGTTTCCAATCAGACCTGCCGGTACACTTTACCGGTTTCCAGTTCACGAAAAAAGCCCTAAAGATACTGTTTCTTTTTCTAGTTGGAACAGACTATACACCCCCGGGGCTAGTCGTACCGAACAGACGGACAGAACTGATCAAACTGTAACGAAACAAGCACTAGTGATGCGACAGAATGAACTCATGCTAAAATTAGGAAGCGAATCACAGCCAATCTGAGTTAGTCCGAAGATCTTTGGCTTTGGTCCTCTGTCTTTCGGAATGTATTATTAGTCTTGCATTTGTCTTGCATGTCCGATGGCGAAAGATGTATTCGCAAACGGGTACAAACGGACACAGAAATATCCACACCCGTATTTCTCTAGCACTCTCGTTCAAAGAGCGCGCTATTTAAAGCTGGTTGACAGTGAATTTTCACAACTCTGTTAAAAGGTGTCCGGTAAATCGGTACAGGGTATAACAAACAACATCTGCTACTTTTTCTTTCAGCGAACTTGTTCCATCCTCAGTTAGCTCTCCCTCACCTCACTTCACCCCCANCCATCCGCCCGATACGCTCTCCCCGAGAGACGAGAGGTGATAAGTTGTCGATTTATTTTCGACAAATCAGTCTGATTGGGATGTGCATGAGGTGTTCACGACCACGGTGACCTCGAAATTGTGATACAATTGAATGAACAATTTGATATGCTTGTTTGATGAAGAGATAATGGTTGACTGTAACAAAGTTCAGTGCATATATTAACTTCTGGAATGTGTTCACATGATAGATTAAAAGGAGTATGCAAACTACACGTACCTATCTATCTATCTATCTATCTATCTATCTATCTATCTATCTATCTATCTATCTATCTATCTACACCTCTTTATCTCCCACTTTTAGACGTAGATGGGTTAATCGCCGACCAAAAGCAATGGTCAACTGATTCGGCCTTGTGGACACACGCTATGTGGTCACTGCATCGACCCCGAGGTCATTGTAGTTTCCTGAACAAATCCACTTACCTTCAAAAGCTTTATTGATCGATTGCATTCGTTTTCTTTCGCGCAAATTTGCTGCTTGACGTTGCACAATTTGCACACTATGACATTTCCTATATGTTCCCGTACGGAATCGTGGTATATGACATGAGACACCTCGTTTACTCATTGTTCGGCGATAATGAAATTGATTTGCTGAATGCTTTATACTCTCACTCGAGGATTCATGAATCATCAGTCCACCAATGGTACAACCAGTTCGAAGATCTGTTCCAAGGGGATGAGTACGTCGCCGGCCATTGGGAAACAGATAGGCATCTGCTGAACGATTCAACTGTGTCCGAGTACAATCCATATCATCCTCATTTTCATCGACCAATAATTCGTCCTCATAATCATCTACCCCGTCCTCCTCATCTTCATCCTCAACGCTGAACGGTTCGCCGATTGTCGGGATCTCGGTATTCCCGAGACCGATATAATTGTCGGCAAAATCTGTTTCACTAATTGTCTGGTAACCACTTCCATCGGATACAATAGATGCTCTGTCACCTGAGGATCTGTGACAAGTATCGTTTTGTATCACACGCGCGTCTGTTTCAATCAGTCCGCCAAATGATCTATCTCCTCGATACGGGCCGAAAAATGCACTTCTCCGGGAGTCCCGATGTCCAGTGCCATCTGATCTTGGGCATTGACGTAAGAAACCGGGGATCTGTTCTGCCTGAATCAACGAGTTTGTCACGGATACTGTACTGAGTGAAGTTCCGGTTGGAGTTAGATGAAATCCGGCCAGAGGAAGACTATTCATGAGTTGTTTTGCACCGACCAAAAATGAATTGGCCGAGGGGACGCACAGGGTGGACCAATAATCGGTGGATGTTGCAAACGAGGATGCTGGCGGTGATGATGATGATGATGATGATGATGTTGTAATCCCGGACATCAGATTGGAATGAGTGGATTCGTATCCGGGATAAATAAATGGAAACGAGTTGGAATAGTATTGATATGATGGTGGTGAGCAGTCCATGATGTGATTTAAAACTGAACACTATCCGTTCCTATTTGACCAGGGTGAGTAGGTGTGGTTTTCTCACAAATCACGTGACCGCTGAGATTCTGCAAAAAAAACACGATAGAAATAAAAAGAACGGAATGTATTATATGAAATTTCTTGCCAGTTCGTAGTGTATCATAGAGGGTTTCGTACTCCTCGTACAAATCGAGTTTGTATCATCATTCAGATATCATTCCCCTCAGTCAGTTTATTTTAGCCCAATATACTCGACTGTCAACTGTTCAGTCGAATCGATAGCCTAGCACCAGTCCGAATGTGTGTGTGTGTGTGTGTGTGTGTGAGTGTGTGATCAATTGATGATATAACGATGCATACATTCCGTTTCAGAATTATAAAATAGCTTTGGTGAATCTTCCTCATTCGTATACATGTCGCATACCTATTTTTTATTCCCATTATAGACTGATTAAAATTATGGTGGTAGCGCCGAGTTGAAGTCGCTGTCACTTGTGTGCCTTGGACCCTATGGTCTGAGGTTCGAGCCCCACTACCGTCACCCAACCTTGATGATAGGCAACTTTGTTGTGATCCGGTTGAATACATTCGTGTCTAACCTAGCGCGGGGCCTTATATGGTTTACCAATCCAAGTCCCACGGGGCTTAGGTAATCGGTTTTCATGATTGAATATCAGATCAGATCTTCGTGACGATGGAGCTTTCCCTGTCTGATGTTCATCACGCTAAGATGTGGAATAATAGAAAATAATAATAATAATAATAATAATAGAAAAAGTTCATTACCTGGGAAACCGAAAAAAAATCGACCGTATTTCAAATTTGATGCCACGCAGCTGCACGGACATTGTGCTTGATATTTTTTGTGTGAATTTATCCACCACGTTAGACCCGTTAGACCGGGCATTCTTCACGCGATCGATACATTATTCTGTCGCCTTAGTATAATGAATAAGAACGGCCCTCCCCCCCACACACTCCGGGAGCGCTTGCGGTTTGATTGTCCTAACTACACGTGTTTTCAGGTGTACGGGTGTGTGTGTGTGTGTGTGTGTGTGTGTAGATATAAGTATATCGTTTAATAGAATCCATTTTATCGGGGAAAACTATGCAACCATATATGCGGATATATCTGCATTTGTCTGTGAGTACTTATATATTCCACATACACCTACACACACACACACACCACTTCGAGGCCG